AGAGTCGCTTAAAGCACGGCGAGAATAAAGCTAGGTTCACAGTAAAAGGGCACGTCTCTGCAGTGAAGCATCGTGTCAGCACCCATTTATCGCGCAGCACTGTATTTCATCTGCAAAACGTGCCACCGCCTCCTCTCCATCGTCCCTCGCGAACTCAACTGACGACACCGGGTAGTATTTCTGAACGAATATAGACAGCTATGAGAGACCGTATTAATGTGCAAAGAAAGAAAGGCAAACAAGAGGGCGTAGATTACCTGTGTGTGAAATATTACGGAGGTGGACTATACTATAAGGAAATAGTAATTAGAATATTAAAGTAACACACGGAGAGAATTTTTTCTTAGAATTTATCCTGAAAATATGACAGTCGTGAGACAACATTGTATTTCGAAGAATTTTAATGTAAATCTCTCTCATTTATTATTAATAAATCTACAATAAAAAGTATAAAATGAGTTTGATCAATTTTACTGAAGTGCATGGTAAAAATCTTTAAAATATTGTATTGTAGCACAACTACTATGTTTTCACGATAAATTTTAAAAGAAAATTCTCTCCGTGCACCCTCTATAACTCAAAATAGTTCGAAAAGAAAGGAAAAAAAGCAGAAACAAGAATATTCGTATGTATAATAAAATTTTACGGTAAATTACACATAATGAAATGATAATTGGAATATTAAATTCATATATAGATATAACATAATTTATAGCTCAAAGTCCAAGAAAGATTGCAATAACGGAGTTTCAAATCTTTCATTTCTGACGTACATTGACTTTGTTTTACATTATTGCTTTATTTTCTCTCTCGACAGAAGAGTTGGTTCAATCCAATGTGATTTGTTGAAAAGTCAATCGTTACGTACCACGTCCGTCACGTCCCGCTCCCGCGTTGGTTTTGTGTTTGACTTTCGTTATTATAAAAGTAAGTTCGGCCGAGATCGTCGGCTTCTCTCGTCGACAATTTCGTCGCCCTTCTCCGTGAAAGAAAGTAAACGGACACCTCATTTTTAACGCCTCTGTCTACTTAAACCCGCGTCGCTTTTACGCGTAGCGTCGCAACATTTACGACCTTATCGATTTTCTTTCAACCGGGACTAACTCGCGGCTGCCATTTAATCGCAACACTGCGTAAAAATAGCATCGGATTATTAATTACGTCTATAAACCGAGATAACCCACATTCGCCCGCGGGAAACGAGACTCTAGCGTCCTGCTATTCTTTCCGCTCTAATACTGCCGTGTTGCACGACCGCTCTTCTTCCATACGTCCCGATTATTTTGTTCTCTTAACGATCATCTCCCCTCCGGCCCTTTGGCCGGAATGATTTAATCGTATTATCCACGCGATCCCGGACCATTGATGCTGGACCGACGAGATAGCGCAACTCTCGTTAAACGAAAGATCACGTTACTTTGCCGCTTCATAAGAGAAAGGATGTATTTATTTCTTCGTTTTAAACGCGAGCGAAGAGAACGATCTGCACACCATTCGAAAGTGTAACGAGCTTACGCTATCTCTGAAAGTGCATAAAAAAAAAAAGAATCCTGTTGGATCACCGCGTTTGGCAAAAAAATGTAAAAGGTCACGCATGCAGGTACGTGTCAGCTGTAACGATCAAATAGCTAAACCGATTGAAACGATCTGCACGTTTGCTGTATCCATATCAGTTTGAGTTGATAAAAACGTTCGTTTTTCCACATACAAAAATTGCTAGCTGGTTAAATCTCGTTTTTCGAAAAATGTTGCTTCGGCAAAGGATATAATTTCTGATATATTAATAAGATTCTTGAAAAGAAAAACAATTTCTCAATTCGAAATTGTATATCAAAATCGCAATATTGTTTTAATACTGAAGAGCGCATCAGAGTACGATTCACTGAATTTTTCAGAGCGTCCATTTCGGAGATTGAGATCTTTATTAATAAACGGTTGAAATGTGAATTTCAGTGTCATGTGCAGGTGCCAACATCAATATCAATATCAATATCAATATCAAGCTGCCACTTGCTGTAACGGTAAAAGTTATACAGATCCACAACGTGCACTTGATCCATTTTTCACCAAAATTGCATTTAACACCAGTGCGCACCGTTAAACCCTTGACGCGTTGGTATAAAACTGTGATAAAATAAATGCGATCGCTTTTTCACGACTCTCCTTCATCAAAAGAAAATTAAATTGCTTTTCATTACTTTTAAATGGAAACGTATATGATTTAATAAAACTTAGAAGTTTCGAAGTTTTTTCCACCGTGCTCCTCAAGATTGATTTGAGATATTCCTCGTGCACGTCTCGCCGTATCGCGAGGAACTTTTTACTCATATCAGCAATTACCGAACATCCCTCGCACCGCCCACCCCCCCACAAACCGCGGCACCGGTTGCGCTCGCACATACATAGCACGCGGTAAATATACGTATATACACATAAATATATAGTTATGCACTCGATCTATGTCACTGGTATTGTATAGCATGACTAATTATACTTCAGCCGGCGGCGGATCTCGTTGCGCGGCTTCACGAGTGGCGGAAAGCACCCTATTAAATCTCGAGCTTCGGCCACCCTCTCGGGCGTAAGGAAGAAAACCGCGAGACGTCAATACGAGTGCGCCAAGCGTGAGAAAGGGTAGGCATTTGTGCACTCTAATCCTCGATCTTCCTACTTTGTTTCACATCCGCTTCTTCATGTCTCCTTCTCTTCTCCTCTTCTCACCCCCTTCTCTCTCTCTCTCTCTCTTTTGTTTCCTCCCTAAAGGTTGGTCTAGTCTACTTGGCAACCTCCAAGAGCTGCGTCGAGATGCGCGCGCGCGCGCATCATATAAACTTGCAGTATTTTATAGTCTTTGTAGAATGATAGGGTACGTCTGATAAAAAACATTCACAAAAAAAGAATTCTATTTTCGATCGAAGTGGAAAATAGCAATGAACTTACAATATTATCTTTAGAAATTTTCTGTGAATAATTATAAGCGCAAATTAGATCGACAAGAATAAATCAAATAAGAGAAAGAAATCTATTTTTGATCAAAGCTAGGGATGTTGCAAGACGAGACAAGACGAGATTTTAGGAAATATCGTCTTGTCTTGAAAAAATCTTGAAATGTACATTCTTGTCTTGATCTCGAACTCGAAAATCTTGTCTTGTCTCGAAATTCTCGGCAATTTAAATAATGCGTTGTCTACAATACACGAAGTAAGAAGAGTAAGAAATTGACCAATTACAATCGATTATTCTTCTCAGATTTGATTGTAATTGGTCAATTTTTTACTCTTCTTACTCCGTGTATTGTAGACGACGCTTAAGTATTTGCGCAACGTCCGTTCCATCGGAAAGGTTATTCTCTACAGCAGGATTAATTATAACAAAACATAGAAATAGATTATGCGAGGGATCAGCGAGATCCCTATTTTGTTTAAATTCATGGGCTACGAGATTTTCAAGAATCTCGAGTCTAAAATCTCGTCTTGTCTTTAAACTCTCCGCGCAAATCTTGTCTCGATCTCGTCTTGAAATTCGAGACGAGACAAGACAAGATTCTCGAAATCTCGAATCTTGCGGCATCCTTAATCGAAGTGAATACATTACATTTTTCAATTCTATAAATTGCGCGCCCATTCAGTTGAATTTAAAACGCAATAATAAACTGAAACTAGAAATACCATCACAAATTACATTGATTGCCAATTAATAATAATGGTAATAAGCATCTTAAAATACTGCAAAAACTTATTGCGAAGAACATCACCTCAGCCAGGGGTTGAATCTGAAATTCTCAATTTTATGGGACGAGCATCTTACCAATGCCTTAAGACGCTTATTAACATCATGATGAAGTTAAAGATCAAAGTAATTTGTGATGTTATTTTCGGCTTCAATTTATGATTGCGTTTCAAGTTCAGCAAACCAAATCAGCACCCAATTTATAGAACTGAAAATGTATTTGCAATAAATCTGTAGATTTACTACAACATAAATATTATTAAGCACTAAAATTCGCATTGACCAAAATAGGATTCTTTCTCTTACTTGATTTATTCTTGTCGATCTGACTTCCATTTATAATTTTTCGTTTGGATCATCCTGCATGAAGAATGAAACTTTGAAGTTTGAATTAATCATTGCGATTTTATTTGTATTTGTACGTAATTGCTTCAATAATTAACAAAGATTACAGATGAAATTTCTTTAGCTTATAAAACTAAGAAGGCGATAGGAAAGGCATAGGACACACGCAAAATTAAAACGCCATCGGAGAGTTACGTTTTGAATCTTTAAGTATTTATTTAAACAAATCCCAACATTCCAAACATTGATAGTTGTATATACGTATGAGTGTGTCTTTTGTGTCTGTGCGCTTTCTATAGACACAAGATAGATTGTGGCAGCGTGTCAATTTGCCTTTGGCTATCTATGTTATGTCCATAGTGTTTTTCTTTTCGCTATTTCTGTATGTGTATTCACTGTCATGCAAGTACCGCCGTTTGTTTCATCTACAGATTCTTCGATTAAATCGCAGTCAATTTTTTCTCGCAAAAAAATCTTAATTATAAACATGTTCGAATTTTTTTACAATTTTCTAATGTATTGAGAGGAATGAAGTTTTCTGCATTAATTAACAATTTTACAAATTAGCAAACAATCTCAATTCATCAAAAATCATTCATTTTTTATTGTTTCCTATTCAAGAATGATTTAATCCTTTATAACTGACATGTTTTGCTTATAAAAGAAAATTGCACAAGCAATAAATAGAAAATATTGATTATGGGATATAATTAATTATTGAATCTTAATTTATAAAGATTTCACTATAAAAGAACTATTTGTAATGTAAAGTAGCAATGGATAATAGTATACAAAAACTTGTATACCTGTAATGTATTTTTATTGAGTATGGAAGCCCACAATGATGCAGAGTGATAAACTAATGACATAATATCTTTTAAAAATATAAATATATAGATAACTTTCAAATCACCTGATTGTTATAAAGAGTTAAATCTCAATATTCCAGTCGAGAAAAGAAGTCGCTTGACTGAAGAATTTGCAGACGAGAGGAACGGTAACAGTAAGGAGTTCTCACGGGGCTCAATTTTAGCCGCACAAATGACATTGAGCCTTAGTTACGATGCAAATGAAGCTAACTTGACGATCCAAATTCGTATTCAAAATCAACAAACAATTGTTTATTACCCCAAAGTTTCGCGAATCGATCGAACAGCTCCCCGATTTTATATAGCGCGATACTCTCTTCACCCCCATCTTTGATGATATACCTTAATATCATCGACATCCTGCCAGTAGACGATAACACACGCGAGTGCAATCGAATCAATTATGGCAAGTTTTTCTGTGACTAGGTTAATTAGTTTAGACCCCTCGCGTGGTTTCTCTTCTTTTTAATTACTCGAAAAGTCTTACGGTCATAGGGGTGCTTACGACGACAGCGCTTGTCCGTCTCTGTACTCTGATACTTTTGCGACGGACTTGTGTTTCCTGGGACTATCAATTCAAGATTCAATTCTTGCCACTTTTTAAATTACATTTCGCCGAAGAGCGTTATGGGTTCCGTTGACGAAACGAACCAAGATCAAAATTTGCCTAGCCTCCGAAAAATTCTTATATATTTTATTTTACATACAAAATGTCCGACTTATACTTCAATAACAATTTCTTCGGGAAATTTTGCAACAATATCTAATGCCATCCTTAAAGTATATTTCATAGACTCGAGACCTGGTAAATTTTGATCCTAAACGCCCTTTCGAGCTAATCTTCCATAAAGACAAGCTAAATATACATTTTGATATATATTCTCTTAGACCATTTTATAATAAACAATTTTAATGATTGTAATAAATAACTCTTATCAATAGTACTGAACATATTCGATCAGACTCAAAATACTAATCGTGTATTAGTGGCCGATCGATACGTCTAAGCACCCCGAAGGAAAACATAAAAATTAAAATGGACCCGAATACTTTTCGCCTTCCAACTACTCCATATTTCCAATATTGCACGAAAACTTACAATATACAGGTGACTCTCAACGACAAATTTGAATTTGTATTCAATTCTGTTATCAAGGGATCGAAAATAAACAGTAATTTTTAAATTATTGAAAGAAAAGATATCTGTGAATAAATAAAAGCGAATAAAAATTTAAGTAAATAATAAAAGCGTAATAATAGATTAGCTTTAACCGAATGCAAACTCAAATTGACATACTACGAATAATTCAGAACGCTTACACATGGACCAGTTTCCAATTGATCGAAAGTAGAAATTCTTACCTAAACACCTTTCTTTTATAGCAGTCATCAAAAAGTTGTAGCAAATTTATAACTTTTGGAAACAACGCAACTTTATCCTTCCTCCTACCTTCGGGGTGACTATTAAAGTCGAAGAAAACTCGTATCACAATACTTCCTGACAAATGTATACATCGTAAAAATGTCTCGAGTGTATAACGCGGTCGTCTCAACGGAACGCTAAAACTTCGCATATCGAATTCTTTTCGCAAATTTCACGTTATACGACAATTTTCGAAACAACTACTGGAGAGTCACCTGTATCCTCTTAAGTACTCCCCGTTGCCGTTAAATCATATAACCCTATCTCGTGTCAAATATGTTCTAATTCCTTGCACAAGGCTGCATACACACACACACACACACGCCCAATTACGCTAACGAAAGCCAACATCTCACAGAGTTTCCCTTTCTCCACTATTTAACCACATCCTCTCTTCTTTTTACCCTTTCCTTTTCACTCTTTTATTCTTCTCGTCTATATCTCCCGCACACTCTCTCGCACGAACATACATGTCAGTAGCTAGTCATTCTTGTCGTCTTATGAACCTAGAAGTTGAAGCCCAAGACTACCAATTCCTCAATTAATTCCATTTAGTGTTATGGCAAGATTTCGGGCTTGAGTTAGCCCGAGCACCATGATGGACATCGTGTATGCTTATGGCGAGATGTCTTTAGCATTCATTTTATTCCTGAGATTACGTCAATCCCCCGTTTACGCGACACTTGCGCCGCAACGACCGCCAGACCCGTCTGAAGAGTCAGTGAACTAAGGGTCGGCCGATCCGTGAATTTCAAGCGCCAGACGTTGCCGTCCCTAATGGACGGACGAAGATTCACGTCTCGGATACAAAGGGACTACTACGAACCTCCTGTATGTTCTCTTATGTGTTTACGTGCCCGTTTGCGCGTTCACCAAATTGTGTTACACGATGTGGATCACCAACCGAAAGACTCGGTACAAAACCCCTCCAAATAAAACACACTTTCAACGCTGACTTGTACATGGGCACACACACACACACACACACACACATACACACACGGCACTGTACAACTCCGTTCGGAGCGAGTAAAAATTATGTTTCACTTTCTTCAATCGCGAAATGCTACGTACGTTGGCATCCATTTCTGACGAGAATCATTCGAACAACAAGGATTGTAAGCTTGAACGCGTTTCTGTAGTGTGTTTAACAGTCTGTAATAAGTTCTAAGAGCAAGAACAGTTTTGAGAAGAGAGAATTTATATTAACACGCCAAAGGGATCGCGCTTTCATCTCGCACAAGTTAATCGAACTCAATGAACACGTGAGCGCGAGAACGTGCTATTTATCTTCAAACGGAATACAAGGAAGTAATAATCTCACGAGATTATGAGGAACGAAATTCGCTTCAACAATGACTTAGAAGATCGTGACTCTCGCGCCTTGGGAAGTGTATTCCCGATAATAATCAGAGTTCAAAGGCGCCCCTCACTTATATATACTCGATTTCGATCGATGCTGTCCTCTCGTCGCGCCTCGTTCACGACGAACCACACCCTCCAGCATCAAAGATCTCGAGAGACCGAGATCCCGCACTCTATCACACGGAGATCTCTTGAATTTGCACGCGCTTCTTCGCGCTACCAGGTGTCCCGGGTTGCCGCAGAATTCCAGGGCACGTGAGACCGACGTTTGGTGCCGGAGCCTTGGGCGGGGGCGGTGGTTCCGGCAAGTCCTCGTTATCGTCCTCGCTGTCGTGATGAAGACCGCTCAGGTTGACTTCATCCATCTGGGCGATAGTGGCGTCTACACAGGGCGACGGCGTGCGGGTCCGCTGAATGCACGGACTCTTACTGTAGGATGGCGGTTCCAGGATCCGTTTACCACCGCCGGGCGGTGGTGAACACTGAAACTCCTGCAATTGCAACTCGAGCTCCTGCACGAGCTTCGCCTTGTGCGGTGGCAGCATCGACGATGACGAGTCTATCATGCTCATGGAAGACGGTAGTCGCTGTTTACCCGAAGTGTCCATGCCAGAGCAACCAGCCTCCAGGAACTCCTCCTTCTTCTTGTTGCTAAAAGTGCCCGTCAGACCGCCACTGGGTGTATTCCGGTCGCGTTGGTGGTATATCCCCGCGAAGATTAGGATGTTGAGCAGCAGCAAGAACACACCCACTGCGATAGTGACTGTAAGAGCCGTGGTATAGCTCTGATAATGACTGGACGCAAGTTTGCGCAGAAGGTTGTTGGGGCCCGGACCTAGATTCGAGATCTGCAATGTTCGCGAAGTGGTAGGCGTGATGGTCGTCGCGACAGTCGCATTCGGGGTGCATTCCGTGGTCGATAGCGCAGTCAGTATCGAAGAGGGTTCCGTGGGTGATGGCATTGGTAACGGAGGTGCTGGTATAGGCACGGCCGTACTCTGCGGACGCACCGGGCCTTCGTAGAGACCGGAGTTCTCCGCGAGATGATGGTGCCGCATATTGAGCTCGTAACCCGGCCGATGTAGCTGCGGCAGCAGATTCAGCCAGAGGGACATCTTGTGGCCTCTGTAGTGCGAACGCATCTCCGGGCTATGAGCGGCCTCCAAGTACAGCTGATTTATGGAATCGTACGAGTCCCAGAACGGCGGACTCGTCGCCAGGCCGTTTTCCAATCCCGAGGACAAAGGACTCGCGCCATTTGGATCCCTAGAACAACGAGTGAACCGCGATTCTTTGACAAATGGGTTGAAACTGCCGCGAGGCTTGATGTTCTCTCTCGCGCTTTACGCTGCGTTCCTATTTTGTTAAATGTTCAATTTTCAAAAAAAAAATAAATTTTAAAAAATGCCGCACGAAATTCAATACAGTTTATTTTTTTATACAATTAACTGTGTATAGTGATATCATGGTTTATTTTAAAAAATTATAAAAATATCGTTACAACTTTACTATTTGTAGCAAATTATTTGAAACGTTTTTCTAAATTAACGAAAATTGAGGCCTCCGAAGCGAATATCTCACGCTGCTCTGTGCAATATTTCATCACAGTGCACAGGCAGAATTCCATTGTGAAAATCCGCCGTGTCGATGACAGAATAATCATCCAGATAGCCGCCGATCCGCAATTAGAGATGCCAAAATCACTTCGCGTCTTCGCCACTAACAAGTCTACTCTACTTCGAGATTGCGAGCTTTCGCTGAGCGTGTTAACGGCCTTTGCGGGAGTTTGGCTCCAAAATCCTCTCGCAGCTGTAACTTTACCCTTACTACCATTACCAGCCTTCAGACTCCCCTCTTGGAGAGTAATCGAAGTGTATGCGATGCTTAAGTTCTGAAGAACTTTGAACCGGGTGAATTAACGAGAGAGGTTCACTTATCCGATTAACCCTTTCATGCCCATCATACGCCAGTTATTTCACATCGCAGTGTCGCCAATTAATGTTAATCGCATATTTCAACCAACAGAGTGTAATTAAACAGTGCGGTAGCTTTTCGCAATATTCTCAAAAATGTTCATCAATTAAGTTCGTCGATTAAGATCAAGGAACAAAAAAATCTACAATGTACTTCTACCTAATTTCGTTTTCTTTTCTTTCGCTACTTATGTTTTTTTTCTTTCACTTTACTTCAATTTATTTCGTGTCTTATACTACTGTATTCTTTATATACACTTTTCTTATGTTCTCCGTTATTCTATTTTTCAAATTTTTCCTTTATGCCATTCTTTATCGCTGGTCTTAAAAAACTTGCACTGGAATGATATACGATCAACTTGATGCTACAAATACTTTAAAGCGTTTTTCGATTGGTCAATTTGAAAAGTTCCTTCTTCTAATTGATCAATCAAACGTTTCAAAGCATTTGTAGTAAGACTTTGACCGCAGCTATAATAAACTTCTATCTATTTATTTATTTATCTATCTCTATTAATATTTTGATTTTTATTTTAAACTGCCTTGTCTTTAATGGACGCGGTCAGACATTAATTTCATCATCAGACGCGAAGAATGAAAGAGAAGCGGAAGGGACTTACCCACGTCTCACAAAGTTAGCCAGGTAGTGTACAAGTAGTTTCGACAGATTCTCGTCGGCTGGGGTGTAGTTGCCAAAGGTGGGCACCGCGGACGTGACTTCGCCGCGAAGAAGAGGTATACCCAGGAGATATGGTATCTCCTCGCCCCTCTGGCTCGGCAGTTCACCCGGCTGGAAATGCAGGAAATAGCCACGTCCCTCCGAAGCCGAATGCAGTAAGGCCAGTCTGAGGAGTGGCGCGGCGACTTGGCCGTCTCCGAGGAGAGATAAGAGACCTTCGCAGATCGCCACGGGACTCTGTTCGCCTCGCTCCCAGTCGGTATACTCGTTCCGAAGAGTCGAATAGATTTCATGCAAATGGTACCGGTAGGTGTTCCGGACGTAAGTGCGTAATATACGGTCCCTCCTCGTCTCGTTCAAGCCGTTCTGCGAACCGGTAAGAATTTCGCCCGTTGTTGCGACACAGAAGAAGCACGCACACGTGTACATTATGCTTCTTTGCGTTACGAATTTATCGCAATTTGTAAAATAATCTTTCGATGCCAACTTTGTACTGTCAATCATTCATGGAAAATCGCCGAGAGATCTTACAAATAATCGAATGTGATATTTCCGCTGATATATCGACTGTGTGTACGGATTATTAATTTGATTCACGATCGTAAAACAGGAGCATGCTATTATAGTGCGATACCCAGTGGCCGTGACCATCGGAGAGTCAATAATATCCGGAACGATTGGCGAACACAGACTTGCGATGCAATCATGTGCAGCTCGTCAATTTGTCAAACTGTATCCAATCGATGTCAATTACATATTATGCGTGAAGTGTCCGGTCATTAATCAAGGAATTACTTCCGCTCTAATATAAATTTCTTGATAAAATCGATATAAAAATAAAAGTATGACCAATAATAGCAACGGAGAAAAACAGATTAAAAAGTTCGAAGCTTTTTATTCTTCTAACAAAAATATCGCGAAAACATGAAACTGTAATCTGGAAACCGAGAAGTTTGCAAGAAAAACCAGAGATCCAAATAAAAAGGATACTACTGTATAATTACTATGTATTTTATATTTTCTTTTACGCGTTCTTTCTTTGAATGAACGTAACGATTGCGAATCCCACTTACCTGTAAATCTTCCTCGGTGAGATTCACCCAAGCTTCATCGGATGTCAAACCAAAAAGTAAATCACGGTTGCCGAAGTCCGCGAATTCAGCGCCGGGCCCAGGTACGATCGGCATTAGTCCCGAAGAAGAGGCAGTAGGCTGGAAATTCTGAACAAAGAATCTTCTTTTTCATGTTTAGTACAGTAACGCGCATATCAATGAGCTGTTTTCATTTTAATTCTCAATCTTCTCCATTCACTCTCGCTTTCCCCATATCGTTGTTAAATAAATCTCCACCACTTAGGTACATCCCTCTATCACGTATAGCTAGTAATTTCTATTTAACGTCACATAAATTGACTTAGCCGCCGTACGTTTTAAAGCGGAGACGACAAGGAGAGACTTGACTGCTTTGTAATAAATCGTGGTTGCGATGGTACCTACATGCACGTTCATCTCTCCCGATTTCGCATTTAATGTCGCGATATCGCGATGAGCTCGAGCAACCAGACACTATCAACGAATGAGTTAATGGAGCATGCACGAAGTAGCTATTACGGTTCTCGGATCCGTCATCCGTCAGCCGGTCGCTCTTTCAATTAACAGATTCATCGTTTACCTTGTCGTCTCATTCGCTCTTGCGCAAAATCAATACGTCGGTCGGTCGCCGACATTGGACTAATATCCGCATGCAATTACAACATTCGCGAATTCTGTAATCACTTGGATGAAACGCCTGTCGCGACCCATGTTTATTTAACACCCGCTGTTATATTTATTTACATCGCGGTGGATGTTCCATGCGTAACCAGCATTTAAACGGCGGACGCGAAAACAATACGCGTATATACTCTGCGAGAAAGATAAATGTAAATGCAAATTTTATGAAAAATAGCTTGACGTCAAAAGCGACACTGAATCGAAAAACTGCGCCGGACATCCCGAAAACGTTCACAGATAACATATTAGCGTGTCATTTACAAAAACCGCTAAAAAGTATCAATATATATTCATACTCGTAGTAATTTTCGCCAACTTTTTTCTCGGCTTAAAATGGATCTCTTCGTCTCTGTTTCTCTCTCTTTGGACAGATGTGAGTATATCTAGACGTGTTAAGATTGAATATTTTCTCTATTATTACATGCATCTAATGTGTTTTTTTAATAGCAGTTACATATAACGTTTACCTTGAATAATGATGTTTTATACTTAAAGCGGTGTCTACAATTTTAAAGCAGATTTTAAAGCATAAAACTTAAGAGTCTTAAACCTTAAAAAATTGACCAATCACAGTTGAATGTGAAAAAGACAATCGACTATGATTGGTCAACATTTTAGAATAAGAAAAATATTTGGTTGAATTAACTGAAATTCTGGGAAATAAATAATTCGGAATTCTGATTAAGTCTATCAGATTTCTGACTAAATCGACTAGAATTCTAGTAGATTTAACCCAGGAAATTATGTATGTTGGTTATTTCAATTAGAATTATAGTAAATCTAACCAGAGAATTCTGGATCGTTTATTTTCCACCAGAATTCCAATTCATTCAATCAAACATTTTCTCCATGTAAGACTTAAAGCTTAAGTTTTACGCCTTAAACTGTCAATGTAAATACCGCTTTAAGAACGTAATCTATCTACTAAATAACGATTTTCTCCTCTCTTTCTCTCTCTCTCTCTCTCTCTCTCTCTCTCTCTCTCTCTCTCTAAATTCTAAATTGAGAAACGGACAAACCGGATTGATTAAACTGCAATTAAGATTAATTAATGGCGTATTACGGTTAACAGCGTAGTAAAACCGAAGCAATCAAGCAAAGCAGATCGTAAAGCAAGTGGAAACGGCGCGCGTTACTGTTCTCCAGTCTCGAGATTATCGATTATCGGATCGAATCGGCTCACCTGATTGACTGTCGGTGGCAGAACAGTCCCATCGACGAAAGGTGCAAATCCGGAAGTAAATCTTGGCGGATCCAGCTGCACCGTCAGTAGCTCTTCCACGCTCTTTAAACGAAGGCACGGTGCGATATCGTCGGTCTCAACGTCACCGGGACATGTGATATTCTCGGCAACGCGACGCTTCACCATCAACGGATCTCGCTGCACCGCCCATGGCGAGAGGGCCGAACCACCGAGCAGAATCACCCTCCCGATCAGCTCTAAAATATTCGTTGAAAACTCTCGTTAATTGCAATATAGTTAATAAAATGCGAGGAATGTTCGATAAATCTTTAATTATTATACAGACAGTAATATATACATTGATATTTTATTATATTTGAAAATTCAATATTTCGCAAACAGGAAACTAGTCTCTTATTATTTTATGTATATAAAAGCTGTATATAAAAGCTTCTCTCATTTAAATGTTATTTAAACCCTTTCTTTTTATTGGAGAATGGAACTTAGACACGATTATATTTGTGAGATCGATAAATCAGTTTCAATTAGCATGTCTCTCTCCATAGACGGTTATACCGACATCAATCAGCGTTAAACGTGATTAAATCAATTTCCTTTGTAAAAGTAACTATAATTTACAACAGAACTGCAGTTCAATTAATATACTCAATTTCATTTATCATACGAATAAGCGGAACGAAAGTTTGCAATTGTTTCTTAGAAGCGCGACATAAAATAGATAATAAATACAAATTATTAAAAACCGTATCTCTCTGAACCGATAAATAAATAAAACGTTCCGTCCGGACGTTGTAAAAAATACAAATTAACGTAAACAAATTCATAGCGTACGCTAGCAGCTCGCTTTTCTATACAAAATGGATATACCGCGTCAGCGGTAAATACAACCGACAGCACGTTAACCAACCCGAGTTGACTGACAACTGCAACTGTGCGCAACCGATTGGCCACACAAGCCACGAAACAATTAAACTCCTTACCTTTCGCCATAGGAGAGACGGCTAAAAAATTGGCGAGAGCCGCCCCGGTGCCGTGGCCCAGCAACGCCAGTCGCTCAGGATCGCCACCGAAAGCCCCAAGATTCTCGCGCAGCCAATGAAGCCCCGCCACCAGATCCATCAATCCATAATTGCCCTGCGCGCTTCCTTTCGAGCCGGTTTTCAGGAAGCCTGTAGTTTCAACGTGCTCGAATTAGGAAATCGGCTCATCTACGCCCGGCCGAACGACGAGAATGTTCAAATATTCGACACCGCTAATTCCCGAGAGTTTCCACGAAGATACAAGCAGAATATCTCGCGAAAATACACCGTACTCTTGTTATTCCGGAGAACGAAAAGTGAAAAAGTCGTCGAGAAAGAGAGAACTTGGTTGGAAGATCCATTCAGATATTTCCGGTTGTCTCCTCCCTGTTTCGAGGAGGCTTCTTCCTACACTTCCCACCGTCCTTCTTACGCGCAAATCTCGGCGCGATCAAAAAACTCTGTTATGTTAATCACAAACTTTCGCTAAACTCGGGTACGCTCACTTTTAGTATCTGCTTTAACAGAAAGGATTGTCTAAGTTAATTAATTATTGCTAAATTAGTTATCGTTGCGGAGACGAAAGTCGGGATATACTCACACACGTGCGTATATACGGACGTATAGCTATTGTAACGGCGAGCTGTACTCTGAGAATAAACCGGATTAAAATTAAATATTTGCTCGCCGGTACTCAATCCCGCGCTCGCTTCAATTTGCTACCGACTCACCTACGGGCTTGTCACTTTGCTTCGCTATCTGCCTGCAAGGTGAGTTTTCCATTTCAATCCGATTCACCTTTTAATTACGTTCACATATCTACCCACTGTATTGGTACCAAGTTTTAATTACGCTAGTATTTAGCGTCAGAAAAATATCATAGAGTAATGACTCGAATAAATGTTTTTGCTGCTATTTATAGAAAAAAGATTTTTTTTTTTTGCATAAAATACGCAAATGTTTTTAATTATTATATATTTGTTCATTTTTACTTTTGCCCGTCGAGTTTTTTATTTGTTCTACAGAGAGTGCAGCAATTTGCGAAACTATATATGTGATGGAAGATATATTTAATATTATTTAACGTGATGGTTCGATCGGAAATTTATTTATGTCATAAGTGACGTGAAACCCGTAAATGGTGCGAAACAGTGAAAAAGCACGAGTAATAAGTGGAATAACAAGAAAAAAGACGGAAGAAAATGGAATCGGTTGGCCATGCGGTATTGGATAACGCCGCAGGCATTGTTTCGCTTCAACGATGAACAAAACGCATACGGAACTGCAGGCCACCGACAAAGAGAAGCGCGAAACCAGCCCCGGTATGGTGAAAATACAGCGTATCGATATCGAAAATTGTTCCACTGACTGCCCCCGGGCTTCTTTCATGAATGGGGGATACGGTGTTGTAAACACGCTTGCATACCTTCCGAATAATACGTTGTTTATCGCTTTATCCGCGATTAGGTGCACTCGTACCTCTAAATACCGCAGCTGCAAATAGCGCAAAAAAATAAATACAGATTACAACATTGTGGGTGGTACATTCCCACGATAATAAAGCGTGGTACAAAAACCGTGGAAACGCGCATACGGAGGCATAATACATTTTTAATTAACGCAAAATTGCGGAGACTACCTAGTATCGCGAAGAGAGAGAGACTCGGATGCCCAGATAAAATCCATTTTACGAATTAACTAAATAAAAAATGAGCTTTACCCGGGAACAACGTAAATTCACCGGTGAGACGGGATCCGTTCCGATTCCTCACGCTGAACGAATATCGATTACACCTCATAGCCATTCTTGCCGTGCTCCAGTTTAAATTGTGCGCATAATATTTAGCAGATGCTGAAAAGCCGATCTCGTACGTATAACAAACGAGCGCAAAAATCCATTCGCATGAAAACACCTTTAGCCTTACGTGTCCCCTTCTTCGTCCTCATTAAACTCCCTTTGTTTCTTCCCCCTTTAATATTCCCGCGGATTTTTAATTTTGGCACACGTACATGTAACCCCCCCTCTCTTTCTCTTTCTCTCGCGCAAACGAAAACGCATTCTGCGTCTTCGTTCTGTAACTCCTATGTTTCCTATATATTCAAGTTGGCGTTATGTTTTTAAAGAGTTACAACTATCGCAGAAATAACAACCTCCAGAGAGAAGAATTTCCATATATAACTGCGAGGAAAGTAATCTGGTAAGATCTCGACAAACTTTTCCTCCTAGCTGCCACGAATAATGAGATCATTCCTTTAACTCTGTCGAAAGAACAAAAGAGCTAGTCGCGCTGTGTAATAAACAAAGCGTGGCAAACTCTCGGTACACTTTATAACGCGGAAACTTTCTATCAGTTCTTGCGCACAAAATAGTAATGCAAATGCCTGATTATCGTATTGTCCTTGTTATGCTCGAAATAATAATTTCTTAGCCGAGAACGCGCATATTTATTGGGTATTCATCAATGTGTCAAATTGTCAGCCACTAATAAACGCTCATTACCTGAAAAAATAATTGTTACGATTGTACGATTCTTTATAACGAAACACGTCGGTTTAAAATTATGTTATTCTATTGTTAAATATTATTATCGCTGGGACAAGAATAAATTATTACGAATGAGAAGGATACGAGAAAATTTCTTTAGTTTTTCTTTCCATTTTGAGACAAAGAAACGAGCGATGTTTCTTTAAAAGATATTCTGCTTCATTTTCCCGCAAATAGTTATGACATACGCAAACGTATAGTCAAATAAAATTTATAAAATAATCGCAAATGCTTGCAAAGCGTGTCCCACTTTCCGATACGACGCGGGCGTGGCGAAACGGAACGGTCTGTTTCAATGAATAAGTATTGCAGAGCTTACCAAGCACACCAAGACGAAAATTGATAGAGACGACAATAAGGCGTCCGTGAGCAGCCAGGGCGGTTCCGTCAAATGAATTTCCGGCGCCCCACGAATATGAATCGCCATGAATAAGGAGGAGAGCCGGTAGGGAGTCCGCGATACTACCTGCAACATTAGAGAACATTCTACCACGTCTCTCTGCAAACATAAAATACATATATATATATATATATATATATATATATATATGTAATAGAAATACAGGGACAAATGTATACATAAGAATACTCATATTACATCATCAAAACGTATTATTGTATCGTTTAAATTACACAGTAATCATATCAAGCAAAGACGTTGATTCAACGATGTTTGTAATCTCCTTCATTATTCTCGGTAATAAATATATTTTATATTTTACTCAAATTACAATTCTTTTTAAAAAATTGCAATCTTCTCCGATCTTAATACATTCTCTTATCAATATGAAATCTACAGGTGTGTATACGGAACTAATCCTGTTGTAATCTAATGAATGATATAAACACGGTAAAGCACCTTCTACAAATTAGACCAGATAAAAGTGTCGAAATAACTGGCTAAAAAGCGGCTTTAGATTTCCATAAAACCTCGTGACTAAAATTATATGAGCTTATATGAGCTAATAGCACGTGATTTATAAAATACGCGTTATGAATCCATGATAACATTACATAATTCTGAACTTCATCGACTAAACATCACCGCATTGAATGTTTCACAAAAATATTATACACATGTATTTAGCAATTAAAAACAGACAGCGTTTACAAAAAGAATATCAATGCAAATATTATCCATTATTGATCATTAAAATATAAATGTGTACTTTTAATCTTTGCTCCGCATAAACGCTCGAAATTTCAAGCACATAAATATGAAATATTTACATTCATATTTGTAATAATTATAACAATAAACCTTAATAATTAATATATTTTTAATTGTATTTTAATACAATACCTATATTACGTATATTTTTTAATTAATAAGCGATTAAATATTTAACTTACAATTTTCAATATTTCACATATAAAAAAATGTTAGTTTTTTTATACGTTAAAATCGACAAGTCCGATTTTAAACGATCCAAATATTGTAATTATGAGGCGTTTACTTGAGTGAAAGATCTCGATTTATACGTAAATCTTGAAGGGAGACTTTCCATAAAATTTGCATTTTACTCCCTCTTAGCAGGGTAATGCAGCTGTCTCTATCAATCGCGACGTCAAATTCCATGTAATGCGCAACGGCGATCGAAATATAATCATCTCTGGAACGAACTATCATGCCGAGCTAAGTGATGGCAAGGCGAGACACCTGTTGCGATCCTGATAGCGCACGCTAGACGACAGATAGTTAAGTAGGTGACGAGTAGGCGAACGAGACATCTTCCGTGATTTCACTGTGCGTATTTTTCTATTGAGAGCTGCGAAAACTTGTTCCTACCCAGCCGCCTGTTTGCGATCGTATCTCAAAACGTTTACGAGCGATTCGGTACTTTTATTGCTTCCTCAGTATCGACTCATCTTTGTCGTGCTCGGAAATTTATAAATTATAGATTTTTTTAATAAATGAAAAGTATTAAAAAAGATATTTGCCAATTTAGTTATTTAATAGGCTATTTTGGGTCTTCTATTGCTATTCTCTTAATATATTTAGGAATAACTGGAAAATAGAAATAATTCTATTTCGAGTCGTGCCACATAACTACGTATTAATTAATTAATTTTAGTAATACAATTCTCAGTTAAAATTCTATAATCTAATTCTCTATAAATTTCTCACAATTAGATCAATTTAAGAATAATTTTCCACTTGCTATTCAAGAAGATTATTTCCTACAGCTAAAGTTGTTAATGTTCATATAGTTAAAGTATACACGCTTGTTTATATATTGATAAAACTTGTAAGAAAAGTGTTTGCTTTTCATTTTTTATATTTTTCTTAGAACAATTGTAGCAGGAATATAATCTTTTATCACAGGTGAAATTCTGGCTCCGCACGTACATACGAAATATATGTGTAGCATCTGAGCTTCTGCACATTACGTTCCAACTCAGCGTGTAACGCGATTATGTAACATGTTGGGAAAAGGAGAAAGGGTAGATACTAGGGACCAATAAATTCATAAGCAAGTTAGCAGAGATTCGGAAATGAGGAAGCTTTTTGAACGACCCGACATATATCAGGTACTAAAATTCGCTTTTAATGCGAAAAGGTCGTTATCTCAAAGTCTTAACGAGAGATCACGAAGTCGTTATCGTGAACTAACAGTAATTTTGAAGCATTCCAACGTGTCCTTGTACATTAAAAGATAGAAGGTTATATATATATATATATATATATATATACACTCTTTGACAAAAAAGTTACGCACGGATCTAAACGTCGGGAGTTTTCTCGTTAACGATGATAGATACAGCTTCGACACGTAGAACCCTTCTCGTAGATCTCGTCGAGAGAAATCGAAATAGTTCTGTGGCATTTTGCCGTATCTATCACTTTTTCCGAGATAATAGCCCTTTCTTTGTCTAGACTTGTGCATAATTTTTTTGTCAAAGAATGTACATATGTATATCTCCTTTAATCCAGTTCTGTGTACGTATTACGTACGTCAGATGACACGAAACAAATATATTCTCGATTTTATTTTTTAATTAATTTTCTTAAGTATAATTATAGAAAATCTGTAAAAATTGTAAAAATGTTGGGAATCGGATTTACTTAAATAAATAGTTTCCTACAGTCTTTCTTCCTCTTAGACAGTTTAAATGCGCATGGTTGAAAACCTTCCTAAAGTTAGACAGTTAATTAAAGTTTCCATCAGTTCCTCCAGATTACGTTCATTGTACAACCATTATAGATAACGATCGATCTTTGACCACGGTCTTAAGTGCGAACAGATTAAAGAATCGATCCTAACGCGCATATATGTCGGTGCTTGTCGAAGTCCTCTTCATTATCGTGTCCTCTCTCTAGATTAATGTCGCAACGGCCAGACAAGAAGAACGTCGATCCGATACGAAGCTCCCTCACTCCCGCGGTGCTTGCAGGTTCTCTCACGTGAATCAAATAATCGACTGCAATGCACTACGGAATTGAGGATGCAACGCATCCTTACACTTGCGTTCCTATACAGAGTAGTTTGTCTTTCTCTCTCTCGCTCTCTCGCTCTCTCTCTTTCTCTCTCTCTCTCTCTCACTCTCTCTCTCTCTTTCTCTCTGTCTTCCGTTCTGCTTGAGGAACTCCTTTCGCTTTATCTTGTCCTTCCAATACCTCGGATCCCTTCGGCCCGCTTCATTTCTTCTCGTATGCAGCATCGACCTCGCCATTGTGCTGCCGAGGCACCCTGGTTTCTCATCATTTCCCAGATAAAAGTGCGCTTTATTCTTTCATTCTTCTTCACAGCGACGAATTCCTCACGCGAGGCACGCCAATACGCACAAAGCCGGGGGATGCTCGCTGCTCGATCGGGGAAACGACAGCCGGATGAATTCGCGAGAGAACGCCCCCGCTCGTCTCTGTGTCCCGAATATTATTTTCACGTGATCTTCACATTCACCGACACTCGGAGCGTTTCTCTGTGTCTGTGTCGAAGTACATTGCCGTAGAGTATTGTATTAAATCTACCTATATCAAATTTTTCCGCGAGTTATCGCGTCACAAAGAATAACGTTCGCTTGCAAGCGTGAATGAAAGATGATCGATATATGCAAAGCGTAGTTAAATTTAACAATATAAAGAAGAAAATATCGCACATTCATAAGAATTCAACATTCAAGAATATTTTACAGTAAAAATTACATAACAAGAAAAATTATTACACAATAAATGATAAAGAGAAAAATATCCGCTACTTGTTTTTATTACAGTGTGAATAACATATAACAAAGCATACTGTTGATTATCTTAAAATATAAAGAATCTGTATAAACTTACATAACATATTTAGCGTATGCAGCAATTTTATTTTCCATACCGTAATATTAAACATTATATTAAATAACAATCGTACATTAAATTATAAGTAAAACTTATAATTATACAAATTTAAATTAATCGTAGATTATAGGTTTTCTCTTCGTGACATATTCACAGACAATATCTTTTTTACATCATAATTATATTAAATAAAATTCTTATATTTGATATATAAAACCTACCACAAAATTATTTAAATTAATCGCAGATTATTTTCTGTTCGTGTGACATATTCATGGACAATAATATTGTTACGCCATAATTAAACAAAATTCTCGTATTAAATAAATAAAACTTATAATCACACGTTTAAATTAATCGCAGATTATAATAATTTTCAGTTTGCTGTATATCCATAAATGATATCATAAGCATTCTCAGAATGAAGCATCGTCCAGAGTTACGAGCCGTCATCGTCGCCGTTGCGTAATAACAGATGTAGGATATAACCATAAAAGTATAATTTTGCGACGATGATCCAAGACGAGAGAGAGCTCTCAATCTGTCGAATAAACGCAATACCGCTAAAATAAGCACAAATTCTACTTGATATACGATATATTACGCATTCCTCCTTGCGCAATCTCCTATTACTCGTAACTTGGTATGATTCCATATTTTATCCAACGTGAAGCTTCTATTCCAGCTGTTTGTGGATTATATTTTTATCATAATATCGCATCGGAAAAGAATTTTTAATATAAATGTGAGGTCGAAATTGAAATTTTCAAACTAGAGAATCATTGGTTTCTTCATTTATTTCTGCACGAGTTTGATCAGAATTAAAGTAACGTTGTAAACTCCTAATCGTAAGCACCACATTGTGCGATCGAGATTGAGAAACGTTTCTCTCTTTCTCTTTCTTTCTCTCTCTCTTGCATTTAAATTCCGCATATTACAGTCGCGTTTCAATAACGCGAGTGCGCCACGAGCGAAGGAGTTCAAACTCTCGTCTGAATTTTCCGCGACGATATCCAGAGATGAAAGATCGAAAACTAAGCTGCTTACGCGCGAGCAGTGATGATAGTGGTGGTGATGGTGCTGCTGCTGCACACCCCCATACGTTGTCAGTGAAGAGACAAGCAAGAGAAAAAGCGCTCTGTAAAAAGTAGCAAGAGGATTCAACGTGATAGCAAAGGAAGCAACGACGGCTCGTTCTCTTTAATCCGGCTGAAACGTCGGATAGTTACGGCTTTTTATTCGACAGCATAATAGCGGCCTTACTGCAAGAGGTCCCATAGAACAAAAAAAAAAGAAAACGGGAAAATCGCAAGTGGATCGCGCACCAACGCGTATCGCGAGATTCACAACGTCTCTCATACGTGCTCTATCTCCGACTAATCGCGCCTTACGGAAATCATGGACCTTTCATGCTTTTAATTAATCCTATATGCATCCGCATTATCTCGAGCGAAAGAATTTATTTTTCATAAAGATTTATATCCCTCTTATTAACGTATGGCGTACAAATTCATTCCCCGAGAAAGAAATTTTCTTTGGTATACGCGATATCTTCGTGCTCTCTTATCGAAAATTGGAATAGACATATTTATCTTAAAGCGCAGCAAAGCCAAACTGTTCAAGAGAACCGAACTAGGTCAGACCTTTATACACACAACCGGGAATATTACAGAATTCAACAAATCCGGCCGAATCCCTATCTGAAAATTTATCGCGGGATGCAGTCCCGCTCTGTTGATCTCCATATCTGTGATCCGTATATTGGTTCGCGTTTACACTTCATCTGAAAGTCTCTCGCTGTATTCGCAATCAGAAAAGCGTCTCCGCGAGCGATCGATCCGCTCTTTTGTTACAGACACCCGTTCCCGCTCTATCCCCAATCCCCACGCTAAAAGCTGCGAGGAAGTGATGGTAGGGGAAAGGGGTAAAAAGGTGGGAGGGTGGAGGAGTAGAAGAGTTTTCTTGCGAAGGAGACCAGCATCGCGACAGCCACGCGAAATCGCGACCACTATAAAGTCGCCGCATCGAGCTCTCAGCTCTCGGCTGCGCGGAGTGTGATATATATTTTTTTCTCTACCTCCCTATCGCCTTCCAACCCCTTGACTGTACTCCGCATTGAAATTAGCTCTAACCGAAGGTATAGAGCATGGACCACGCCATCCGTATCTAAATAGAATATCTGACGTGGTCAATAAAAATGAAAGAGAGGAGAGGCGTGAAAATAGCCAATTTCCCCCTCTCTTTCTAACAACATTACACCCTCGAATAGAAAGAGACAGAGACCTAGGTTACCTAGTTTCGCGTTCTATTTCTTTCATTTTTGTCGACAATTGTACACACGATTGCGTAGTTCGTGCTCTATGTCTTTGGCTCTAACAATCTGGCAGAAATCATGGTCGGTGAAATTACTGTATTCACAGTCGCTATAATCTTCTCGCGCTTTCTTTGCATTTCATATTTCAGCTGTACTAGATGCATGAATAATCGGAAAGGACGGGATAAGAAAGAGGGATAAAAGATATACGCTAATCAGTGATATCGCGCATGGATCATTCATGAGATAACCTTGTACTGTTAGATAAATTTAAAGGTCTCCCTCTTTCAACTCTCAGTATTTTTCACGAGCAAGAAGCTTAAGCAAGCAATTAAGGTCAATACGTCTCTCTCAGCGCAAAAAAGTTCATCCAAATTCCAAATGTGAGCGATAGCATTTACTAAGGTTTTTTTGTGATGCAATAGGACCAGGAAAAGATAATAATTTCTAGATGGATAATTCTACTTTCATGAGAGCTCATTACACCTCGTTGTCTGGACGATACACGTGTAGTCTCATGTCTAGCGAGAGAGGAAGAGCGGAGCGCATCGTAAATAGAACGCTCGTCTGAATCGGCTAAACGTAATTTCAACGAAAGTGGAACATCATTTGCGAAACTCTGTGAATATCTAACAGGCCCGTGCTCGTGCGTCTGACGAAGAAAAAAAGTTGGCGAGCCAGCGCGTGCATGCATACCTACATATGTATCTACTTGTCGCGCAGAATTATACGCGCGCGATGTCATTGTCACGTGTCGTAACGCACCGATGCTGCATTCCCGAATGCTCCGATAATCAGATTATCACGAAATGAAATTGCGCCTCTCTCTTGCCCCCCCTTGGTGGTTGGCGACGCGCTTTCGACCAAGTTGAGCAATCTACCTAAAATTGGACGGTGTTTCGAAACAGAGTCTCGCGAAAATATCACCAAACTTTTACGTCGTAAGATACATTCCGAAAAGTTCAGCTTATGTTTCCGTGGCAAATTTTATATTCGACAATGGACCGTATGGTGCATGGAGCAGGATTTTCCAAACGGTGCATCGCAAGAGCTTTACGTATTTTCACGTATTTTTCACGAGAATTTTGTTTAGGATTTAGAATACCAGTGTTTCTATCTCAAACAAACAGAAGATACAAGTCCCATGAAACATAGATATCTGAAATATTGTTACAAGCTTTTTTAACATTATTTTCTACTTAAAAAAAGAAAATGTACTGCAGTATTGACGGAAACATTTTCACAATGGTTTTTTTAATCCCCAATTTATAGAACTTTTTAATCATAAAATTGTTGGTAATTGTTTCATATCCTTTAAAAAACTATTAAAAAAATTTATTTTTTAGAAAGCACAAAGAATATATTCGAGAGCTACATTTGGCTACAATATAATTTTATAAATCACATTATTATTTTACCCAATTATTACTCCTATAATATACATGTATGTATAAAATAATAATTACAATTTAAAATAGACCGATGAGAATAAAATTAAATAAAAGAAATCCAATTTTTCAATCAAAATAAATTTTAGTGTGCATTTGTATCAGACATATATTGTATATAAATTCATACAGAATATTAAAAAAAAGTAATGTATAATATATAAAGAGGATCCTAAATATATACATGTATTAATATAAATAAAAATCACATTTATAGTAAAATTAATTTATCGCCAAAAAAGTAAAATTCTTTCTAAAACAGTCACTACCAATAAAGTGCTTTAATATATTGACTGCGTTCAGCAGAGAAAGCAGTTTTGCAACTATTGTAAAATTCTTCAATATGATTGGTTTATACATTTAGAGCCACAAGGAATCAAAAGCAAAATTCTATCGTATTGAATAATTTTACAACAATTGTAAAGCTACTTTCTCTGTTGTGAATGCAGCCATTCTTTATTCTACCAAGCAACATATTTCCTCTACTCAGTAAACCAAAAACAGCTTGAAACATTTTAGCAACATTGCAGCAACATTGTAACGTTACTGGAATGTTTGAAGATGTTTCTTGCTTATTAGAGGCAGTATATTAAGCATTCTTTAGGATAACATTTGACTTACCGTGAGGAGCTTTGGGCACATAGAGGTTCAAATACAAGCAGTCTTCGCTCTGATTGGCCAGTACTGGCACCAGCCTGTTGAGGTAGGCCTGTCTCTGCCGCGGCAAGTTCTGGTCCAGTACCGGTGGCCGCTGCGGGCAGGCCGGCGGCATGGTATCGGCGAACTTGATGCCGCGCCAGGGTGTCGGGGTAACCGGCGGCATGTAACGCAACGCGCCGAGCGGCGGCGTCGCGTACGGCACGCCGTAATAAGTCTCGACGGCCGTCGACGATCTGGCCTCGATGCCGCGCAGGGTACCGTATCGCGTTTTAATTGTTCTGGTACAGTACTTTTGAGTGCCGGCCAGGGCTTCGGTACCTGCCAGGCAGCACTGGACACAGAGAAGCGCCAGCAGGAAGACGCTTTTGGCGATACCGCCATCAGATGGGACTCTTCGAAGAGTCCCCTTACTCGCGATATCCTTCGCACTTCGTCGTCGTCTTTCTTGTTTATTTTCTTCGTCGTCACTTCCCTTGTCGCATTTGCCTCCTTTCCGCTTTCTTCGCTCACAGCATCGTTCACCGGAAATCCCGTTTGTCTGGCGATTCCCCAGCTTCCCAGGAACCTCATGACACGTCGAGCGAACATTCTGTCCCCGGTGAAGAATATCGTACCACGTTCGATCTGATACGATAATATCGAGCTGCGGAAGACAGTGCTGTCGAAAGACATGTTTAACTGACGGTCGCCAGTCGCCGGTAAGAAGGACGGTGTCGGGAGGCGAGAGGTCTTTCCTCTTCCTCTTCCTCGGCAAAGAGGAGGAGGACGTCCGCATCGCGTCACGCCGCCGCGGACTGGCCCCTGCGGCCCCCGCATCTGTGGGCCCCTCCTACCGATGGACGACCCCTTTCTTCTTCCGCTTCCGATTTCCGCTTTACTTTCCCGTTCACCGCCGCCGCCGCCGCCGCCTTCTTGCCTGTCCTTCGGCCCTCCGTCCTCGCCGCCGCTGCCGCCGGCAATTTTTTGCGCTTACCCTCCTGTACCCCTTTCCGCGCTGCCGCCGCCGCCAACGCCGCCGCAGCCGCCGCCACCACCCTTATCCCGTCGCTACCGTCCACCCACTCCCACAGCTTCCGGTACGGTTTGCCGCCACCTCCAATCCCGCACCCTCCAAGCGGCTTGCGCTCCTCGTCCGCCGTTTCGAATTCAGAATAGCGACTCAGTACTATTATCGCGCTGCTGCTGCTGCTGCTGCTGCTTCTGCTGCTGATTGGCTCCGAACAAACTCTCACTTCCATTCTCAGGTGCATACGTTGCCCGCGTTGACGCTGAGCTGCCAATCTGGCGACTGATCGTCGTTATCGCGCAACACGCGCGTATACACGACGCTTCGGTGACGATCGACGAGCTCGAATCGTCGGCAGTGAATGATCCTGATGGAATCATCGGCGTCCAGGGTACGATGATTCGATGCACCGCCTTCGGAGTCGCCGACTCGCGCGGAATCCTCAACGTCCTCGTCGCATATGCTACGAATCGTCTTGGGAAAGGAGAATCATTCAACGACGATTCTTCGATCCCCGAGTTTCTATTTCTTGCTCTCGTCGGAAACCATCTGCTTTCACCTCGCGCCCTCAACACGCTGCAACAACATGTAAAGGACGCTTCGTTAAGTTTGTAGTTTCTCTGAAAATTAATTTCACGTTAGATTCAATTAACTCGATGACAGTCGCACAAGAATATAAATGTATAAACTTCGGACAGATCTCTGTCGCACGTACAATTCAAAATTTTACGAAAGCAGACAGCTGTTCCTCGTACCCGAGAAATGGCGCGTAAATTGCTACTGTCTGCTCAGTGAACTGGAAAAATGTATGCTCGATATACTTTCGAGGGGACGATCGTGCGTGAAGCATGTATATCGCCAACGACGTCCTTTTCGCACCCCTGTCCTAATCCTCCATCAGTTCAGCAAATTTCGTACATTCTTTATCCTCTACATTTTCTATAATCATTTATTCTTTATTTTATCGGTTATTCTAAAAATATACTTGTTTCGGACGTATGTATTCTCCATTAAACAAATCCGCATCTAAATAAATGGAATATCCGAATTTTAGTTTATTGATTTTTGCTATTAACGTTACATAATTTGAAAAGTTGTTCTGTTTTTTCTGTTTTGTTATAAAATAACGAGAAATGAAGTAGATATTTTGCTCTCCAATCGAGGATAATATATATTTCCATATATTATTGCGGTGAAAACTGACCCCATTGTGGTAATAGCGCAAATTTGACCGTTCCGATTGAGTATTAATATGCAAATGTATGCATCTACCCTTTGGATCGAATTTTCGGGAATTCAGCGACGCTGGACTTGAAATTTACGTTCGTTAAATCAGTAATTAATATACATTACGTCGGAACCCAGTAGTGAAAAATCGAATCGCACGGCCAGTCGCCCGACAAAATCTAATTAATTGCAATGACGATGTAGTTTGATTCGAATGAGTTGCTCAAACTGCTCGTATAACGCGAAATCCGATAGCATTCAACTGTGGCTATGCGAGAATTTCCAATTTCCAACTTGGGGTAAACTATACTCTATCCCTGGCCCTTGGTGTATTTGGTACTACAGCTTTAGAAACGTTTCAACTCCTCTTCCCCTTGTTTGGAGAGAGAAAGCAGCCTGCGTTTAAATTATTACGAAGGTTCAGTTACGCCTGCCATTGTCTTTTTCCAAACGCCAAGCGAAATAGTGAGCTGCCAAGGTCCACCTATGTGGCGAAAACGACGTAATAGTTTTCGTATCTCGTCGAGCGTGCAATTGTTAAGACAAGCCATATAAACGCAGACTTTTCTTGAACTTGCTACTTTTACTTTCTGAAACTTCTGGTAAACGTGCCGAAGTAAGAAATATACCATCTACTTTCTTGTGACAATGACAAATAAGAATTATTATACTTACGAAATACAAAAAATGGGACGTAGATGCGTATCAAAAATTATAATTAAGAATCTTACTTATCTTTAGTATTTTTTATCCATTTAATTTGTCATTCATTTATGTAAAGAAATATTTCAAGAAATACAGAAATCCGTCCATCAAAAATAATATAAATCGTAACTGCCGTAATATTTTCCGTGTCATTTATTAGTGTTATTCGTATACCTATCTGTAAAAGAAACTTTAGAATTATGAAAGTTCGCTGAAATATAAATGACGCGCCACATAAATATCTATTTGTGTAAAAGTTCAAATGCTAATTATACAATATTACATCCACAATTTGAATGTTTCTACAAAATTTGATTAATTTAATGTTTTCTCTTGACGTGATAACTCACACGTTTATATTTACAGCAAATACGAATTTTTTTCTCGCGCTCCTTTCGATGGGAACGTGCCGGCTATAGTTTGAAGCAAGTATTCCCGATTCTCAAGTTAGTCCGACTTGTCTCCTAAGTACTTTGCAGATCGGATTCCCCGAGGGTCTTTCGACAGAGCAGCGCGATGTCGACGCAACCTCGCAAGTTCAAAAAGAGGTGCAAACTATCATTGGATTACGCTTCGATTTCGCGCATTCAAGCGAACAAGCAAAAACGAGATGCCAGTGCTGAATCATATAAGCGCGACAATCTGGTCTGGCGAGCGAAATTAAATTCCGGAGCTCGCGCTAATTGCAGCAGGAAGAAGGGAGGGGATGACCGGACGATTAATAATTCATCGACGCGGGAGATAAGTTCGAAGTTTCCAGATCCACGAGAAGAATCTACGAGAAATTATTGAGGCAGCAACGATAACGTGAAAGGAAGAACGGATCCTTAGCGAAAAACGCCGATATATTATCGCGGAAATTGCGCGAGTGCCGGCGTGACATTTTTGCACGGATCAACGAGAGCGCGTCCTGCAAGAAATGGATGAGTCAAAGAGAATTGATGGTGATCCATTTTACAAAATTACGTATCCCCAATCTTCGAAATTGAGGCTCAGCTTCATAATCATTCTTTCTCTCAATTCATTTCTATCATGCTCTGTCTTTGTAATATATTAATTTTAACTGACGTGCGAAATATGACCGGAATTTAAATATATAGTACAAAGAGTGAAAATACAAAGAGAAAGAAATAAGAGAATTCAAACATTTTAATGACAAAACTGATTTCTAAGAATAGAGACGTTGTACTTAAAAAATGCATTACTGTAAAATGCAATATTTTATTGTTAGATTTATCATCAAATTATTTCAAAGTTTTTACATATAATAAAATATTCTATCTAATAACTAAGCTAGACATGATCAAAATAATCAAATATTATTTTATATATTAATTATTATGCGTTTGATAAAAAATCCTGTTCAGTATTTATAATCAGCCGCAAAAAAACACGCTACTGTAACGTTTTAATGCCTCGGTTTTTTTGGGTGGGTGAGTATATATACATTTATATTTCAACTTTATCTTAATTATAACTGATATATTTATTCGCATTCTGTAATAAAATTATATGCTTAAATTCGAAAGTTGTAATAATTATCTGTAAAAAATTGAGTGAAATGGGAAAGTAAAATAACAAGAACGAATTAAGAATCGCATAAAATAAATGTATGTGTTCTAGTAAACGCAATTTTAAAAAAATATTAATTATTTATATTTTCTGTAAATAATATTTAATATGACACTCAATTAATATAAGTATATTTAATAATCCTGAATATTCAATCTTCAAAAAAGTAGTCTACAAAATCTGAAAAGACTAAGACTTACGATGTATTATTTTCGCGATAATAATTGACGGAAGTCTATGACGTAATTGCCATTGTTGGTATAATTTTACTCTTTCCTGCAATATATGTGTACGCGACAAACTCATATTGATCGAAAACGATGCGCGGATTTCTTCAAATTTCGGAGTTATCATCGACAATGTTTCGATGCCATATGTTTCAGATTCATTGAACAACCAGAAAAACAAAGTTTACAAAAGCAGCTAAATACAATTATTCACCCTGAATACGTGTTTTTACTGAGTGTGAGATAATGTCATTCGTTTAACTTATGAATTATTGAACAGGAACATTGCATTATTTACAGTATAATCCCAAAAAATGTGAGGAACGCACCGAAAAACATCCAACTCCTTATCTAGTGTTGTCTCCTCGTATCACATAGTGCATAATGATATTCACTCAGGTATTCTCGATCAGATAACTTCCGTATCGGTCCAGATAATTTCAATTCTATCGCTCCGGCACCACACGCACCAACACGTAGCGCTTCGATCCATTCGACGTGGCTAGCATCACGTTAAGAGTCCGGAGTTGACGGTACGCTCTAGAGAACAATGCCGATTACGCATTCGAGCGCGGTCCAAATCGCTCGAAGCGTCGTCAGGCCGTGATTGAAGCGGGCGCGAGATATTTGCCGATTCGGAATCACATACTCTCCGCTTAAGCACCTTCTCGCCAGCAGCTGTTGAATCGCGACGCAACGACGATCCGTCGCGAGACTGCCGAAACCAGCCAACCAACCAATTCCGTACCAACAATCAACCCCCAGGACGGCCCGCACCCTTCGTGTGCGCGATCGACTGTATCCCGGGCACTACTAACGCGCTGAGGGCTAGCAGCCG